CGGGGCGGGGGGCGGGCGCGGTGAGGAGATGGGCTCCAGGGTCGGAAATCGGGATTCGGCGTCCCGTGGAAGGTCGTGGGGTGCTCTGGAGTTGAACAGACCCGCTTGCAAGTCGGGCTCGCTGTGTACTAGTTCTGTTCAAGATACTTAATCTCTCTATACTGTACTTCAGTTTTGTCAACTGTTAAAGGTATTTATCTACCTCAAAAGGTGCTCAGGAAGGATTCCGTTCAGGTGCTGCATTGCCCTTAGAGACATCTGGGCTCCACAGGCCCCAGCAAGGCAGGCTGTGGAGGCTGTGGGGTTTTGAGGGGAGAGGATGCTCCAACTGCCTGGGCTCGCTAAACCGAAGTCTCGATCCCCAACCCCCAGGCCGCTGCACCTGGCCATTATCCATGGGCAGACCGGTGTCATCGAGCAGATAGCCCATGTCCTGTATCATGCTCGGCACCTCGGGGTTGTCAACATCACCAACCACCTGCACCAGGTGAGGGGCACTTGCTGATGGGAGGCGAAGAGTTGGAAAGCGAGTGGGTCTAGGCCCGGGGCGGGCCTGGCTCACGCTGCCTGTGTCCCCAGACACCCTTGCACCTGGCGGTGATCACCGGGCAGACCAACGTGGTGAGCTTCCTGCTGCAGGTGGGCGCAGACCCGACACTGCTTGATCGGCACGGAGACTCCGCGGTGCACCTGGCACTGAGGTCCGGCGCCAGTGCCCCTGACCTGCTGGGTGCGCTGCTGCGGAGTGGGGCTCCCGCCGTGCCCCAACTGCTGCACATGCCAGACTTCGAGGGTGAGTCCTTCACCTCCTGTGGACCAGGGGCAAGGGTAGGGGTCAGGGAGGGTAACTGATGAGTGCCTAGAGTGGACATAAGGTGTAGAGATCAGCTTGTCGGAGCCACAGCTGCAGGCTGAGTGTCCTATGTCCCTAGGGCTGTACCCAGTACACCTGGCAGTCCATGCCCGAAGCCCCGAGTGCCTGGATCTGCTGGTGGACAACGGGGCTGAAGTGGAGGCTGCAGAGCGGCAGGGGGGCCGAACAGCTCTTCACCTGGCCACAGAGATGGAGGAGCTGGGGTTGGTCACCCATCTCGTCACCAAGGTAGGAATGAGGGCCATGGAGGGACCAAGGATGGTGAAGATGTAGGGAGAGGGAAAGCCAGTCATTGGTGCTGTAATCAACCACGCCCTTGCACTCCACAGCTCCATGCCAATGTGAATGCACGCACTTTTGCGGGAAACACACCCCTACACCTGGCAGCTGGACTGGGATCCCCAACACTCACCCGCCTCCTTCTAAAGGCTGGTCAGTCTCACCTTCAGGGGCATATGAACAGGACTGGGAGGAGAAAAAGGGGTGCCTCCCACGCTCCCCACTTCGCAATCCTGAATGTGGGTTCCCATTGCACCTCCCTCTCCTAGGTGCTGACATCCATGCAGAGAATGAGGAGCCCCTGTGCCCACTGCCTTCGCCTCCCACCTCTGGTAATGACTCGGATTCTGAGGAGCCTGAGAGGGACACCCAAAGCAGCTTCCGTGGCCACACACCTATTGACCTCACTCGCAGCACCAAGGTGAGGCCAGCCTGGGACGAGGGAACAGGGTGTCTGGGCTTAGGGATAGGGTTCCAAGTATCTGGTACCTGGGCTCAAGGCCTGGGATGGGAGTAGTGAAGGCTGAGGCTGTCTCTCCAGGTGAAGACCTTGCTGCTAAATGCTGCTCAGGACACCATGGCGCTGCCCCTGACCCCGCCCAGCCCCGCAGGTGAGATCTCTTCACTCATTCCTAGCCCTAGCCCCCTGCTCATAGAGGTCCTTCTCCTGTAGATCTCTGAAGGGGTCTGCCTTGTCTATCCGATTGCCATGGGAGAAAAGTGGTGTCTGTGCCCATCTCGAAGGTAACTGACACATGTGTGTGTCTGTCCCCCTCAGGGCCAGAGCTGCCACTCGAGGATACAGTCCTGCAGAACTTGGAGCATCTGTTAGATGGGCCAGGGGCTCAGGGCAGCTGGGCAGAGCTGGCAGAACGGCTGGGGCTGCGCAGTCTGGTGGACACGTATCGAAAGACAGCCTCGCCCAGTGGCAGCCTCCTTCGTGGGGGGGGTGTCAGTCGGGCCTGTCCCCTGCTCCGTGCCTGCTTCCTTTCCCCAGTCTCAGATCCCAGGTGCTTCCTTGGCCCCAGGGCTCCTGAGCCCACATCCTAACTGTAACTGAGGTTCTCATACCTCTTCCTTCTCTCCAGCTGGCTGGTGGGGACTTAACAGGCCTCCTGGAAGCTCTGTCTGACATGGGCCTAGACGAGGGAGTGAGACTGCTAAGGGGTCCCGAGGCCCAAGACAAATTGCCCAGCACAGGTAAAAGGGTCAGACCTGGAGGATCATCTGGGCCTGGAGGATGGGAGGCCTAAGGCCTTAACTCCCCTCTCCCCTCCTTATGTCTACTTCCCCTGCAGAAGTGAAAGAGGACAGTGCATACGGAAGCCAATCAGTGGAGCAGGAGGCCGAGCAGCTAGGCCCATCCCCCGAGCCACCAGGAGGGCTCTGCCACGGGCACCCGCAGCCTCAGGTGCACTGAACTGCTGTCCATTTGCCTGCCCCCTTCCTGGGCCCCTCTGTACAGCATCCCCACCTATTCTAGTCCTTATTTAACACCCCATGCCCGCCCCTCAGTTGGGGTAAATAAAGGATTCTCATGGGAAAAGGAGGGGCCTGGCCCCGTCCCTAAGTTATAGCCACCCTTGAGTGACATGTCCTACCCTGGCCCAAAGCTGGGCACTGGAGAGAAAAGGAGGTCCAGCCAGCAAGTCCAGAGCAGTTTTAATGGGGGTGGAGGCTGTAGAAAGGGCAAGGCCCATTGAAGGAGGGAAAGCAAGGCCATGCTGTCCCCAGCCTGTGCATAGGGGCCGGGCATGAACACCCTTCCTCCACCTCTGAAAAGAGAGAAGATGAGCCCTCAGGAAGGAAGGAAAACCAGCTCGTCCCCAACTCCTGGCCTCTGTCTGAGCCAGGCCCCAGGATGGAGGAGGGTTGCTGGTGTCAGGGGTGGGGGTGGTCTCAGCAGAAAGCAGAACCTTTGCAGGCCTCCCCGCCTCAAAAAAAAGCATCAAAAGTCCAGGGCCCTGGCCCCTCCCGCCCTAGCCCCCAGTACGAAAAAGTGCAAAACATTATCACAAAATGGGGGGTCTCAGAGGGGCTCTAAGCCTGGGCTCCTGAGGCCCATGCCCTAGCCCTGCGCTGCCCCGGACACCGCGTCCGGCGCGGTAGGGCCCTGGGCCGAGGGGCCCTCGGGGTTCGCCCGAGGCCGGCCCGGGTTCAGGTAGGGCCATGTCATGCAGGTGCCCAGGGGGCACCCCCCCCCCACTCTCACCCCCAACTCAGGGCTTCCGACGCCCACTGCCTGCCCCTGCCCGAGGCTCTGAGCCATGACACTGAGCCCGGGGCTGGCTGGAGACACTGGGCTGCAGGGAGGGACTGGCGTGAGGTGGGAGGACTCCATCCTCTGTGCTGCCAGCTTGGGCCAGTGCTGCCTCTACCACGTCCAGCTCTTCACTGCCCGCCTTCAGCTTGACCCGAAGCAGTGCTGCGTATGTGCCGTAGCGGGATTTCTGAGGCAGAGGGGCAGAGGCTGTGAGCCAACTCTCCACCCTCTGCCCATCGCACCCCATCTCTACCCCGTCTGGACCAAGGAGGGATACCTAAGAAGGTTAGGAGATGGCAGGTGCTTGCCCACTCTGAACCCCCAAGGATGTGACATGATCCCCAGTAGGTTGGTGGTCCTCTATGGGCTCTCAAGATTGCCCATTGTAAGAGCCAATGTTTCTTGAGCCTTTTCCAGAGTTGGGAAAACAGCACTTGACAGACATCTCACTCATTACCCTAGTGAGTACAGAATAGTCTCCCTGTCCCACAGAAGAGGAAACTAAAGCTGAGAGGGATTAATAAGCAAGACCTGGTCCCACTCTTAGGAGTCCATGCCCTAACCACTAGTCTGACCCTGTACTGGGACACGGAGGTCCTGCTAATGGAGCCAGGAGGCACGCAGGTGCCCAGGGCGGGAGGCTCACCTCAAACTGCAGGTAGGCCTCCTTCTGCCGCTGCTCCTCAGCCTCCTTGCCCCGGGCCTTCTTGCCCAGGAGGGCAGCCTGGTGCTCCTGCAACTCGCTTGCCATGGCCTTCAGCTTGGCCTCATGGGTCCGCACTTGCTCCTCCTAGAGGCAGAGGGAACTCTAGCACACACAGTGCCTTTGTGCAAGTTTATTTAAAAGGTGCCCCTTTCTTAGGGTGAACAAACTACTATGTCTGGATTCACAGCATGGCAAGTAGAGGGGCAGCTGGGTTTCAGCCCATTCGTCCCCACCACCCCATGACCAGTGTCCTAATCATAGTCAGCAGCCTTGACTGCATTGGCCTGAGCCTGCCCTACTCCATCCCATTGGCCAGGGGGACAGAGCTGGGAGTACCTGGGAGAGGCGGGTGGCAGCGCTGGGCAGCAGAGGGCGGCTGAACTTCTTCTGGGAACTAACAGCAGCTGGGAAGGGGGGTGCAGAGAACATGGCGGCCACCACATTGATGCGCGTGATCCAGGACTGCATCTGCTCCAGGCTCCTGAGGAGACAGCACAGCTACTTGGGACCTGAGCCCAGGATTCCTATTCAGGAGAGCCAGTCCTGGCTCAGGATGTGGCCGGCGGAGGAAAGAATCCGTCAGGAACAAGGGCGGGGAGCAAGCTGGGAATGGAGAGAAGCGGTCTGGGATGGGCAGGAGGAAGGCACTCACGAAGCCTGGAAGAGGAAGACCCGCCAGTCAGCTGTGCGCAGGTAGAAGACGTGGGGCCTCTTGCTGTAGTCCTTGGCGCGTGTGGCCAATGCGTGGTGGATGCTGATGGCGTTCTTAAGCTCTGCCTCCGATAGGGCCTTCCCAGGCTGGTACTCCTCCTGCAGGATGCCCATCTTGTCCTGGCCACAGTGCCAGTCTGGCCCAGCCCAGCCACATTCCCCAGAGCCAGCTCAGCCCCCACCCCTTGGGCTGGCCCCGAACCTTCTGCAGGTAGAGGATCATGCCCTTGAGGATCCCATGGAAGCTCTTCCAGCCCCGTTTGCCCCGAGGTGCTGGGGGGAAGGGAAACAGGTCACGGGAGGACTGGGACAGGCCCGCTCCCTTCCATTCCCCCAGACCCTCGCACCAGGCCACGTACTCTTCCTGCAGTCAGGGTCTGCGTGCACTTTTCGCACCAGGGCCCCGTGCTTGTAGACCGCGGCCCCAGGCTCGGGAGTCAGGTCCAGGAAAGGGCTGGAGCCGCTGCCACTGCCCCCGCTGACCCTCTTGATGACCTTGGGGTTGGGGTCGGCCAACTCAGACAGAGAGCGTCTCAGCTCCTCCTCGTCTCTGCAGGTGTGATCACCTCAGAGAGGGCTGGCTATGGAGCCACACCCTCCCCTTTCAATCCTGGCCTCTGCTCACCCAGGAAAGCCCCTCTAGTGTTTGTAGACATAAGGGCTGGGGAACTGCTGCTCTCAAAGGGTGTGGCTCCCCTCAACCTGAGGCCCCTGGAATCATAGTTCCCATCTCAAACCAGGTCTCCCCAAAGGGTAGCTGTGTCTCCCCACTCAGATCAGGGCTCCAAGAGGCAGAATGGCTCCTCAGATTACAGCCCCCAGGGTAAGGCCATGTCTGTTCCTTCCTCCCCTCACATGTAGCCAACCCCATCTTCTCCATTTCTGCGCGCACGCGCGCACACACACACACACACACACACACCCCTCATAGCCTTCTCTACCAGGACAGACATATGTCTGACTCAGCTGTCTCAACCACACCCACCACCAGCTCACAGCTTGTTGGCAAAATGGTGTCAGAAGTAGCTGCTTCCTCGTGGTCCCCTGCTACATCCCTATCTGCAGGCTCTGTCGGGTATCATCTGACAAGTGATTCTGTCCGTCACTCAGAGCTGAACCTGCAAGCTCCCTATTGCCTCCCACATGGAGCCTGTAATACAACCCTACCAACACTCTCTCCTTCCACTCTCCAATCAGGCCTGTCCCCTTAGTCTCCCCGCCCCATACTCACTTCAGACATCACATATTTGCCGCCCAAATGTCAACTTCCCTTTTTCTCTTCCCAAACAAATGTTTCCCCTTTCAAGTCTTGCCCCCCCAAGTCCCAATCCTCCAAGAAGCTTTCCTTGTACCCCAGTCCTAAGCTCTGCCTTCTGAGGTCTTCTCTCCCACCTGCTGGGAACTCCCATCTAAACTGAGCAGTGGCTGGACTCTTAGCAGATACTAGAATATACGTGATCTGTTGACTGTTTAGATGAGGGCTCTACCCTCAGACTGGGGGGCCCAAGGCTAAAACGGGGCCTTCTCTCTCAGATGGACTCTTCCGGAAGTCTCCACGACTTCTTCTGACTCTCTGTTTCCACTGGGACTATAACAGTAGACAATGTGGGCCCTTGTTCTGTGACACTTAGGGCTCCCTAGGACCCAAGAGGGGTCTCTCATGCTATTGGCCCAGGGCCCTACCTCCAGAGACTTCTGTTTTCCCACTAGGATTGCCAAGGGACCTCCCCTTCTGCAACCCTCCTCCTAGGCCAGCTGACAATGGCCACTTACCCCAACCCAGCTTGTCATAACAACCCAGCTAGAGACAAGACACAGAACTCCAAGTCCAGACAAGCATCTCCAAAGAAGGAAGTAAGGCGACTTTACTGCCTCGCATGGCCTCACCCACCTCCCCTGCCCCACAGCCCCAAGACTCACAGGGCCCACCTCAGCTCTCTCCACCTCTCCAGGCAGACCCTTCCCCACACCCATATCTCTACCCCCACCACACAGCCCCAGGACTCACATGGCCCACTGCAATTTTTCATTCTTGATGGAGCTGTACAAAGCCTGGGGAGGGAAAAACAAATCAGGGCAGTGTGGGTCAATCCTGGAGGAAGATGCATCAGGTACCCCAATGCCAGAGCCAGAGCCCTCCCTCCCCTATGGGGGAGAAGACAGAATTGAGGGAGAGGGCAGTAGGGTGTAGTGACCAAGAACACAGGCTCTGGAACGGAGTACTAGGACCCGGGCCCAGCTTTGCCACATCAGCAGCATTGCTTTACGCAAGTATCCATGGGGAAGAACACAGTACCACGTGTTTAATGAAGGGAAAGCCATTAGCACAGGGTATCCTCATATGTGATTGATGCACAATTAATGGCAACTGCTAATCTCTTTGTTGTTATTGTTAAGAGGTCATCCTGCTCAGATCCTTGGTGGGAGAAACAGCTCTGGAGGGAATGGAAAAACAGTACTTCAAGAAGCTCTCCTTTTCCCAAACGGCCATGCTTTGGGCCTGTTTTACAGCCTAAAACCACACAGAGCACATGGGGAAACTGAGTCCCCGGAATGGGAACTCACTGTCACTTCCTTCCTTGGCCAATGAGAACATACGATGGCTCCCAGCCCCAGAACAAGCTGAAAGCACCCCAACCCAGCCTGCCCCCCCCCCAGGCCAAATGCCAGGGTGGTCTAGCCCCCAGCCGACTCCCACACCTCAGTTACTAGGGAGTGAACATTAGCTTAAAAGGCAGCAGTTTCAGCTTCCAAACCCTGCACACACCAAACTCCCCGTGGATTTCTCAACCAGCCACTTTCCTTCAGTACAGTTGGCCTGGGGGACCGGTGGGGACCTTGTGGTCAAAGGAGAGGATGGGCTGGAGGAGTAGCATAGGAGACCCCTCTTCCTGGG